CGCACCGCCTGCCCCCAGCTCCTCGGGAAGGGAGGAATTTAGAAAAAAAGTTTCCCAGAAGTTTGGATCAGAGGAAGGACGGGAAGACCGAGAGAGGAAGAGGGAGAGGGAGGAGAAAAGGGGAGAGGGAGGAGAGAGGGAATAAAAAAAAGATGAAGTCCAGTGTACGCAGCCTGTGAGCGCCTGCCCGGGTGGGTGGGAAGCAGGACGCGGGCGCTCATGCTGCGAGCGGGCGGCGCTCCGGGCGCTAGTGCGTAGCCGCAGGGGCAGCTAGGGGCGCCGGTCCTCGCCGGCGGCGAAGGGCGGGGGAGGGCGCAAGGGGAGGGTGCCAAGTACCCGCGGAGCCGCCGCCTCTCCCGGGCCCGGCCCGGAGGGCGCTCGGAGAGTGAGGGCGCGGGCTGCTCCCTCAGTAGCGGGGGCGAGCGGGGGCCAGGGTGCGGGCGGCTAAGATGAGTGAAAGGAGAAGATCTGCAGTCGCCCTGAGCTCGCGAGCACATGCCTTCTCCGTTGAAGCCTTGATCGGCTCAAATAAAAAACGGAAACTGCGAGACTGGGAGGAGAAGGGGCTGGACCTGTCCATGGAGGCGCTGAGCCCCGCGGGCCCACTCGGAGACGCAGAGGACGCGGCCGCACACGGCCTGGAGCCTCACCCGGGTGAGTGCGCAGGGCCGGACCGNGCTTTCTTTTCCTTTGCACAAATGCCCTGAGCCTTCCCCAAATTCGCCCGGACCAATTTGGGAGAACTGGCCTAAGCCTCGCGTGTCGTCCCCAACCTCCAGTAAGGAGGCCTCCTCGCTCGCATCCCCGGGAGCGGATCTCAGCGTCCCTGGCGCCCGCAGCTGAGGGGCTTGCGGGGCCCTGGGGTTAGGAGGGGCGCGGGTCGCCAGCAGTGACGGGAGAGGAGCGAGGCTGGGACTCGCTTCTGAGAGCTCGCGAGGACCACCGCGGAAGTCTTGGGCCGACACCCCCTCCTCTGGAAAGGCCCCGTTTATCCCATTTAGCTTTCAACCTCGGCCCTCGCCCTTCCCCCACCAACTTTTCTGGGGTTTAAATTGTTGAATTCCCCCCCCCCC